GATGAGATAAAGAGCCTTAGAAGAAAATGTAACAATTTTTGCATTTACTGTGTGTGAAATGAGAAATCATTTGAGGGTTTTGAATGGAGGGAAAACATGATTTGAATCCATGTTTAACAAGGGAAAGTCTGCCTCCTGTGCTGAGTTTAAAATTCAGGGTGCAAGTGTGGAAGCATGGAGGCTGGTTAAGGGCTGTTGCAATACTCCATGGAGGGTTGATGGTGGTTTGAATCACAGATGTATATGTTCCTACATGAGGAACTTCTGTAAATATTATTATTGTTTTTTAATCTTCCCCCAGGATATTTTTTCATTGTTTTTTTTTTTTTTTTTTTTTAGAAAGTGGAAGAGAGGAAGGAGGGGGTGGGGAGAGAGAGAGAAAGAGAGGAACATGGATGTGAGAAAGATACATTGTTTGGTTGCCTCCCATACATGCCCTGACCCCAGCCAGGGATTGAACCTGCAATTGAGATACGTGTCCTTGACTTGGAACTGAACATTACCCTTGGGTCTGCTGGCAGACGCTCTGACCGTTGAGAAAACCTGGCTAGAGCAGGAAATCCTGTATGTAAACAAACAAAAAACCGAGAGAAATAACACAAGAAAACCCCCACATTAAAAAGAAAATGAGATGCAAACTATTGATAATCAGATAAATGTGTAGTAAAACAATAACATGACATCGCATCTGTTATTCTGGCAAATATTAGAAAGCTGGGCACTGACAACTGTTAGCTAAGAACACCCATTTATGGAAATGTAGAATCGAGCAGCAATTTGACATAGATTAGTCAAGTCCTGTATGCACCTACCTGTGACCTAGCAGTTTAGCTCCTGGTTATATGTTCCAGAGAAATTCCCGCACATGTTCATGGGGAATGTGTAGAAAGATATTTATCGTAGCATTGTTTGTAGCAACAGGGAAGTGAAGGCAGCCTATGTTTCCATACCTGGGCCAATAAATGGGAAAAATGTGCATTAGGCTTTGTGAAATCCCACTTTATGTACAGTGTCCCTATGACAGTTGGGCTTTTAATAGCATTGTATGTACGGAAACTGTTCTCCTGTACACACACACACACACACACACACACACACACACACACACGGCTGCTTATTTTCGTACACACTTCTTAGTGTTTGGACAAGGACACGGGGGTTCCGGGACTCCGCAGCCCCGCAGCCCTATGGGATCGCCCTGCTCCGTGGTTTGCAGGATCTTCTCTCTCCGGGGCCCTGCGGCCTCGGCCCGGGCGGTCAGCACCGAGGACAGCGCCGGGCAGGGGCGGGGCGTGGTGTCCATGGAGACGTCACCACGCGCCGGAGTCTCTGGGGCGCGCTCGCGGCGGCCGGCGCCGCGTCACGTGACGCAGGTAAGGGTCCAGCCGCGCACCTCCGGCGCTCACTCTGCACCTGCGGCTCCGGACGCCGCTCCGCCGCGCGGAACCCGCCGGCCGGTGAGCGCCGCGGCCTCCCTCTGGGTCCTTTCGCCCCTTCTCCGCTGTCTCGGGGGCGGCCCCTCTGCTCCCTTCCCCGGGTCCTGGGGAGCTGCTGCCCGGAGCCTGACGGGCCGCGGGGGAACCAGGGAGGGGGAATGAGCGTGACCTTGGCTTCGCCCTTGGCTGCCGGCGGCCTCCCCGGGACGCCCCGCCCTCTGCGCAGGTCCGACCCTGAGAGTGCAATGTTTTGCGCGCAGGAGTGACGCACGAATGGTGGGGTTTCTGGCATCAGCTGGGGTTCTCCAGCTCGAAGACTGCAGACTGTCCTCTGGTGGGTGCAGGGCTGGCTGCTCTTAGTCCCTTCAAGGGGCCGAAACCGCGGGAGCCACATCAAAATGGGGAGGGGCCCGGAGTCAGCTTCATATCACAGGACCTCGTGGGAGCAGAGGCCTTACAGACGGTGTTAACCACTGTGTCTGTTCACACATGGGGAAACTGAGGCCTTAGAGAGGCAAGACTGGGCTGACGTCACAGCCATCCTGGGAAGTGATTCATCCACCCTCAGGGAGGTGGGGGAGGAGGGGGATGGGTGTACTAGAGGTCCCAGCAGGGTGCAATGGGCATTAATTAACCGGGCCCCACGGGCCCCACCAGCACCCCTCCACTCCGCTTGGACTGCCTGCGGCTCCTCCCCACGCTGGCCTTGGAACTGGCCCATCTGTTTTTGTACTTTGCCCACGGCTGGGCTGTAGCCCCGGCCCTTCTTCTCTGCCAAGTAAATAAGCAGACCCTGCCTTCCCACCCTGGAGTCTGCCGGCCCGGCCTCCTTTGGGCTCAGCAAACTACTGTTGGGGTTTATTCCTGAGAAAAGCCCACTCAGTTCTCAGAATGTGAGGGCGGGCTCTGCTGCCCAGCGTCTTGGGGTCCCTGTTAACCGGTTTCTACAACGGGCAATTGCAGAGAGCCCTCACCTGGGCAGTGCGGACAGGGCTGTGTGGGTTAGTGGTTGAGGAAGTCTGCAGTGTGGTTGTTCTGGGGCTGGGAGTGGGGAGGATACTGACCTCCCTAAGGAAGAGACCCGGTACCACCCCCTCCTTCCCCAGGAGCTGCCCAGAGCAACCTGCCCAGAGTGCACCGGGAGCTGGGCTGGGTGGGGGTGTGCAGGGAGCTGACTGCTCCTGCTTTCACCTGTGCAGGTAGGACCTGGCAGGACTGGCAGGGGGCTCTGGCTCCAGGTACTGAGGTTGGCTTTGCCCCATCCTCCAGGGCTCCTGGGTCCTCAAGCCCTGTTGGGATGGGCAGGGTGGCTGGCCGAATGCCCTCCTGCCAGGCGGGTGAAGGCCCCAGCAGTGTCCAGTGGCTGGCCCAGACAGCTCGTTGTTTGTAAAACACAGTGTTCCTGCGCCGAGCCGGCTGGGTACAGCCAGGCTTTGTCACTGTTCCCTGGAGCCGTCCCATTCCCCTGTGCTGGCAGAGTGCCTCGCTGCAGCCTGCGGGAAATGCACTGTCCGCACAGAGTCAGGGCTTATATCTTGACTCCACCGTGAGGAGGGTGCAGGCTCTAGAACCACACAGAACCCTATCACTCACAGGCTTAGCCTCTCTGTGCCTCAGTTTCCCTGTTTATAAAAGGGGCTAATCCTAGTGCCCACTTTATGAGGTTGTTGAGGGGGTAAATGGGCAGAGTGCCTGCTCCAGAATCGATGCTTATTGTGCGCTCTTATTCCCATGATGGATGGTCCTGCTTTTGGAAGGCAGAGCTTCGTGGGTTGTTTAGATTCTTCTGATATCCTAGGCCAGGAGCTCCTGGCCAGTGGCTCTCTGGGCCAGGGCAGCCCTGCATATGCTCAGGCCTCAGGGGCGGTCAGAAGTGGTTGGGAGCCTGGGCCTTGAGCCTGCTCTGCCCTTGAAGAGGCACTGCTTCAGGGAGAGCCAGCCCTAGGTAGCCTTCGCTATAAGGGTGGCATCCTTGGCTGGCGGGCTGGGCATCTGGTCTGAGCTTCAGGGGCTGAGTGTGTGGGAAGGAAGTTTGGGGCGCTTGGTGCTCAGGTTCCAGCTGGTCTCACCTTCCTGCACTGGGATATACTTTTGTTTTTTAATTTTCTTCTGTTTAGACTTACTACTGGTTGCCTGAGGAGCCCACTTTCCCTTGCCTGAGGAGATCATCTCCCCTTCTCTTTGGTTCACGTGAGTTTGGAGGGAGAGGTGGAGGAAGCAGGCTGCGCGGGCTGTACCCGTCCTGCCCTGGGCCTCACTCTGTAGAAGGCCCAGCCAGATGGTTCTGGCGATGTGGTGAGCGGATGGAGCATGAGAGTCCACCAGGCCAAAGGCCTATTGGCTCAGGGCCACGCCCAGGCAGGACTGGGAGCTAGTTATGCCCAGAGGCACTTATTCTGGGCCTGAGTTGTACAGTGGGAACCAGGCCCCTCCTGCTTACATTGTCCCTGGTGGGGTGGCTCTAGTGCTGGGCCCCCGCTCACAGGTTGGGGTGCTCTGGGCAGAAGAACATTAGCAAGTGTTCAGGGGGAGCTGTTCTATGAGCAGGCAGTGCTGGGCGGGGGGCAGGCGCCTCAGTGGGCCCTGTCCACCCTCGGCTTGCTTTGGTAGGGACCCCCGGGGCTCTTAGAACTTTGAGGGTGGGAGAAGCTCCCGCTGCTCCCCAGGGATTTCCCTGGGAGGACAGCTGACAGAGAGGGGTGAGATGAGTTCCAGGTACTCGTTCCTCTCCATCCGGGGTGGGCTTCTGGCCAAGTACCCCCTGAGCCGTTAGATGTTTTGAGTGACATTGGTGGTGAGTATAAACTCTGGGAAGGGTACGAGAACCAGAGAGTGGCTCCAGCTAAGATGGGCATGGGGCCTGCTGGTCTACCCTCCACTGGCCCCATGCTCTTTCCTTCTCTGAGCCTCAGTCCTCCCTGCTGAGAAGTGGGGGCAGTTCAGGCCCATGTCATTGGCCTTCTGGCCTGGTGTGCTGAGTCAGCACTGCAGTTAGAGGAAGTCACGATGACTTTGGTTATAATGACCGGAGATCCAGGCATGCCATGGGCCTCCAGATACAGTGCAGTGCCGCCAGACCCCTTTTTTCTGGCTTTTTACTGACCAGACAGAGCACACCCTGCCCCTGGGGGACTCCCCTGCTTAAGTACCAGGGTGGTCAGCCTAGTGGCCTACGCCTTATTGGGGGTTCTGCATGCACGTGCCTTCTCCTTTTCACGGGCTGCAGCACCTGGTCTGGGTGCTCCCTGAGGCAGGGCCTGGGTCGTACTTGTCTTTGCACCAGGCTGGAGGGAGGCCGGGAGGGAGCACAGGTTGGGGTGGGAGGGCACAGGGGGACTGGGGCTCGAGGATGCCGAAAGCTGTTGGTGGACTTATTGTGCTGGGATCTCCCTCTGGGCGGTGAACCCGGGAGGGCTGGCAGTGTCCTCCTTCTCTACATCATCACAGCTGGCCCCAGGCCCACCGCCTGTGGGACCAACCAATGCCAGGCAGCGGAAGAGCAGCTGCCAGAGCCCTTTGTCCTGGCCCGTGGCTCACGCCTCTCCCTCGTCGCCTGTGTCCAGAATGAGTCAGCTGAGGCTGCTGACGTCCCGGCTGGGGCTGCAGGCCGCGAGGCTTCTGGCCCCACACGACGGCCAGGTGTCCAGCTGGCGCAGCAGGTCGTCTGGGCCACAGGCTGCCGTCCCGGGCAGCAGAGGCGGAGGAGGCTCCAGCTACATGGAGGAGATGTACTTCGCCTGGTTGGAAAACCCCCAGAGTGTCCACAAGGTTGGCACCCCACCCTGCCCACCGTGTGGGAGGGCAGCTCTGGGGCTGAAGAGGGGTGGGGAGAAGCAGCTGTGTGATCTTGGGCAGGTTTCTTCTTCTTCCGGGTCCTTCGCCATCCTGTGTGTGAAAGAGCCGGGCACGTCTCTTCCTTCCTGCTGTGGACCACTAGTGGGGGGTGGGCTGGCGTGGACGTCCTGATAGTGCCCTGCTCAGCCACACCCGGCTCCAGACCTGCCCCTGCCCCTTCGTCAGGCTGGGCTGTCTGCTCAGGGCCCCTTGTTATGTCCTGTAGTTAGGGGTACATGTGTTAGTTACGTATTGAGCTGACAAAATAAATACCTGTTGATGGTAAAAAAATAAAAATAAAAATAAAAAATCGGATGACAGGTGAACGTGAAAAGTAAAGCTCCTCTTCCTTCACTTTACTCAGACTCATGGTCCGCAAACAAGGAGTCTGACCCTAGACAGTAAGGCCCCCTCCTAGCCCATCCATCTGCTCAGTGCCCCCTCATCAGTTTCCATTTATTCTTAGCTTCTTCAGTTTTCTTGCAGAGAATTTCTTCAGGTAAACTTACTGCAACATAGTTTTAGATTTCCTCTTTACCCAAAGTTACATGGAACAGGCACTGCTTGCTCCAGGCTCTTTTCACTTAGCGCACATCTCCAAGCGCCCTCATGTCATTGCATCAGGAGCCTCACTCCCACTGTATGGCCGTGCCACCCCGCCCCACTGACCGACATCTGGCTCTTTTCCTTTCTCTGGTTGAGAACAGTGCTGCAGTGCATAACCTTGAACATTCCTCCTCTTGCACGTGCGCAGCTGTCTGCTGAAGTTCCCCAAAGTGGGATTGTTGGCTCAAAGATTACCTGCCTGTGTCATACAGATGGGTTTTGACAAATTGCTTCCGATAGGGCTTGTTCTCTCACGCTGTAGGAGAGGAAAACCTTTTTTGTGTTCTGCTAGAACAGTGATTTTTAACCAGTGTGCTGCAAGAATTTTTAAAACGTGCAGTCAGGGACAATGACCTCTTTTCCCTTAGACTGTAAAATTAAAAAAAGAAAAGAAAATGACAACAGCCAACAAAACAATTGCCATCCTATGTGAATGAATCAAAAATATACTTTGTTTTTGTTAGATTGGCAAAAAATATGTTTCTTGGTGTGCTGCAGGATTTTAGTCATTGGTGTATGTGCCATGAAATGAGGAAGGTTGCAGATCACTGGGCTAGAACACGGACGTGCTTATGCATATGCGTGTCTGTTTTTTGCTTCTGCACAAATAGTAGCAAAAATTCTGTAAGGATTGCATAATCTTCCAGAATCTAATGTATCATCATTTATTTAACCAGTTTGCTGCTGCTTCCCACATAGGTTGTTTGTATGCTGTCATTTCTATGAACAGTCCTGTGGGAACATCATGTCCGTACATCTAGCACACCTGTACAAGTACACCTGTAAACTACCAGCAGGGGAGCTGAAGCTCAAAGGCTAGATGCATTGACAGTGTGGAGGGCCTGCTGCCTAGTTGCCCCCTACAAAGGCCTTCTCTGACCCTCCATGTGTGTGAGAACATGTTCCCCTGGGGCTATAAGCTCCTTTCACATCCGAAGCCTCTGGCCCACAAGTTTTAGCCCCCATGCCTCCCCCAACCAGGATCCCAGAGAGCTCTTGGCTGTGGGTGGGGGACCTGGCCTGGTTTTGAGGGGTCTTCTTGGCACGGTCCTGGGAGGGCTCTGAGAGCTGTGGTGGTGAAGGACACCCAACATCCCCCTGAGCCAAAACCAGAGCCACCCCACCCCTCCCAGACCCTGACCTGGCTGTTCTCTTGCTTCTACCCCTGCCCAGTCCTGGGACAGCTACTTCCGGAAAGTCAGCGAGGGAGCGTCGGGTGGCCCGCCTCAGCCACAGGCCCCCTCTGTGGTACCCGAGAGCAGGCCAGTCGCCTCAAGCCAGACCAGGACTGGCAAGCTGGTGGAGGACCACCTGGCTGTGCAGTCCCTGATTCGGGCCTACCAGGTGAGTGCTGGGAGGGCACTGGCTGTGAGGTTGCTCTGTCCTGGGGTGTGGCCAGGTGCTGAGGGAAGGGAGCTCACTCAGCTCCGAGAGCATCTCTTCAGAGAACCTTTCTCTAAGCCCTCTGCCAGATGCTCTCACTCCCGCTGCTACTCGTTGTCACATTACCAGGTCACTCATCACCTCCTGGCCTTTTTGGTGCCTACTGATTTGTAGGTTTGTGGTCTTTCTGGTGGAATGTTATCTGTCTCACACACCATTATGCCCCAAGTACAGGGAAGGACTTAGTAAAAAGTCTGTTTCAGTAAATGTTGAATGAAAGTTGAGTTGCCCCAGCTGGTTTGGCTCAGTGGATAGAATGTTGGTCTGCAGACTGAAGGGTCCCAGGTTTGATTCCAGTCAAGGGCACATGCCTGGGTTGCGGGCTTGATCTCCAGTAGAGGACATGCAGGAGGCAGCCAGCCAGTGATTCTCATCACTGATGTTTCTATTTCTTCCTCTCTGAAATCAATTAAAATATGTTAAAACAAACAAACAAAAAACAAAAAAAAAGAAAGTTGAATAGATTGGCTCTTGTTAATGTCTGTTATCTTCTCCTGAACATTCCAAGAGGGCAGATGTCAGGATTTTGGCTGGTGACCGCAAGCTGTGAAAGAATTCACAACTGAGAGAAGAGATAGTTTACTTTCTCCAAAGGGAAAGGGCCAGTGAGTTGCTAATTAATACAAAAGGCAAAGAACAAAAGTCATACAAGGAGGGAGGGGGATTTTCCAGTGGCTGCTGTTGCTAGGTGAAATTGAGCAGCTATCGGGGGGTTGTCTTTGCTGGTTCTGCAGGACAAGGTCCAGGCAGATGTCCTAGGGAGGTGTCTTATCAGTAGTTTCCTCAAGCCTGTAACACATTCTTAGAGCAAAAGTTAGGAAGAGTTTAAAGAGGCTTTTTTGAAGAGGAGGGCAGAAGGGAACTTTTTGTTAACTATCCCTGGGTTATAAAACCAGCAGGGAGGAGGTGTATGTAAGAATGTAGCCTTGAGAGTAACTTCTCTCGCAGTTTGAACAGAGGAGCTGAGGAGCTAACAATCTTGGGGTTTAATTACCAGGTGCTTCTCAAACTGTGGGTGGTCACAGCAAAGAAAAAGATGGGCCTTTTTTTCCCCCCTCCATTTTAAAGGGACTGGTATAGAGCAGGTGCTTAGTGTTTTTGGAATGAGTGAATAGTTCAGAAACAGCTCTTCTTCTACCAGCTGCTCTGCTCTGCTCTGGAGACTTATGCTCTCCCCATGGGTCCCCAGGTTGGGCCCCTGCCCTGCCAAAGAGCCCTGATGATGGCCCATATTCCTAGTCTTGACTGAAGAGGACTAATCGGAGAGCTGCTCCAGGAGTTAACTGCAAAACCAGTGTTACTGTTTGGGATCTCTGGGAACCGTGGCTGAATGTGTTTGCTACGAAAGTTGTCTTACAGACATGCAGAAGGAAGGGCAGGGGCATCCTGGGGTCCTTGGCAGGCACTCCATGGGAAGGAGCAGCAGGCTGCTGCAGAAGCCTGCAGTGGGAGGCCCTGGCCAATGGGGACAGGGCCTTGCCTCTGAAGGAAGCACTCTGTGTGGGATGGCAGCTGAACGCCTGTGCACAGGACAGGGAAGGAAGGAGCACTGGGTTCCCTAGCTGGCTTGAGGACTGATGGATTGTGGGACACGTTGGGGCAAACAGTCATATTTGTAATTGTGGTTTTGACTGGGTGAAAGAAGCAGAAAATGATCTTAACCATTGATTTTGAAAACAAAGAGCAAGGAATGTAAAACTATTCTATATAATAAAGAGGTGATATGCAAATTGACCATCACTCCAACAAGATGGCTGCCCCCATGTGGGCACAAGATGGCTGCCACAAGATGGCTGGCAGGAGAGGGCAGCTTGGGACGATCAGGCCTGCAGGGAAGTCAGGGTGACTGGGCCGGCAGGGGAGGGCAGTTAGGGGCAATCGGGCCAGCAGGGGAACAGTTTGGCATCGATCAAGCTAGGAGGGGAGCAGTTAAGGGGTGATCAGGCTGGCAGGCAGAAGTGGTTAGGGGCAGGCAGGCAGGCGAGCAGTTGAGAGCCAGCAGTTGTGGATTGTGAGAGGGCTTTCCAACTGCCTGTTTAGTCAGACATCCCTTGAGGGGTCCCAGATTGGAGACGGTGCAGGTTGGGCTGAGGGACATCCCATGCGCGCCCCCCCCCAATAAATTTAATGCACTGAGCCTCTAGTATTATATACAAAGTAACATTTAGAGCGCTGCCTAAGGGCCTTCATCTTCTAGGCACAGTTTCCAGCTGTGCTTTGTTCTTTAGCAGAAACTAAGCTGCTGAGGCTTTCCTGCTGGCTGGTCTCTGGGTTCAGGCACCTACTCTGTACCTGCCTCTCTTCTTCTTCCCCTTATCTATTAACATTCCTCCTTTGTGTTTGTGAGATAACCTGGTGGCGTGGAGCATCACTGCCCATCACAGATGCATTCCTCTCCCATGGACCCCTTTCCCTGCCCTGCCTTCCATCTCTACGCCCCTTCCAATATCAAATATTCCGTTGCTTTGATGTTGCCTGTCAGTCTTATGATTTCTTTTTACTGCTTCTTTTTTTTTTTTTTTTTTTTTTTTTTTTATTGCTTCAGGATCCAAATAAAGCCACAGGTTGTGATAAGTTGATGTGGTGCTTAAGTCTCTTGTACTCTGTGAGTTCCTCCCATTTCTTTTTGTGTTCCCTGCCTCTTTCTCCTCTTCCTCCTCCCTTTTCCTTTCCTTTCCTTTCCTTTCCTTTCCTTTCCTTTCCTTTCCTTTCCTTTCCTTTCCTTTCCTTTCCTTTCCTTTCCTTTCCTTTCCTTTCCTTTCCTTTCCTTTCCTTTCCTTTCCTTTCCTTTCCTTTCCTTTCCTTTCCTTCTTCCTTCCTTCATTTCTTCCTTTCTTTCTTCATCTTTTTAAAAATTTTTTTTTATTTTTTAAAGAAACCAGGTTGTTTGTCCTGTAGAATTATTGGGGTCTGGATTCTACTGATTAGATACCCCTGGTCACTCCACCTGTCCCTTTGTCCAGTGTAATTTCTGTACATCGGTGATTAGATCTAGGAGCTTTATTCAGTATAGATCTGAATCTATTTTTATTTCAAAATCAGCTTCCTGGTGCTGATGGCACTTCATCAGACAGCAGCTATGGACGGTTACTTCCTGGACACATTGATTCATTAGGGGTGGTGAAATGGTGATATTCTAATTCAGCCTTTCTCTGTTTGTTACCTGGAATACTGCTATCAAGAGAAGCGGTCTTTTGTTAGCACCATTTGTTTCTGAGGTACAGAGTATATAGGAAAGGCAGGATCCATGTCTGATTTTTCCTTTTATTGATACATTTTCAAAATTATGAGGTGGTTCCCTGGCATCCTCCAAAGATGGCCAGTGGAGGTTTTCCATCTCTTTTAGTGTGATATGAATGCATGCGTGTAAACATGCTTGCTGACTTTCCGTCCGTTACAGCTGTTATGCCTAGCATGCTCAGCATGTGTCCTTCCTCAGCCTGCTGTGTCTGAGCTGCTCTCTGCTCCCTGTCATGGCAAAGTGCTCCGCGCTCAGCCCTGTGCCCGGCCAGCTCAGGGCGTGCTGGCAGTCACTGCCATTGTTTTGGTCGTGACTTCTGGGCCTTTCCATTGGTTGCCAGGAAGAATGCATTTTTAAAAAACATTTCATACTTACGGGTTTATATTGATGCTTCTATATGTGTCAAATGTGGACTTAGGGTTTACCCTTGATCTTACCAATCTTATGCCATCGTTTCTTTTCTTTTTAAAAAATATTTTTATTGATTTCAGAGAGGAAGAGAGAGGGAGAAATAGAAAATCAGTGATGAGAGAGAATCAATAATTGCTGCCTCCTGCCTGCCCCCTACTGGAAATCAAGCCCGTAACTCTGGCATGTGCCCTTAACTGTCTGCAGGCCGACGCTCTGTCTACGGAGCCAAACGGGCTAGGGCCCATCATTTCTTATTAAAGTTGTCAAAAACAGAGGTTCTCCAAGACAGCAAGCAATACAATGACTTATTTTATTTTCTTACAACCCCCGCACAACAGCCTTAGAATACAGTTCTCACACCACACCACTGGCTGATGGGAGTGGATTTCTGAGCCTGCAGGTCTGTGTGTCACTAGGGAGTATTCTATCAGTCAGTTGGAATAGTTCCTTTCTGTGAGTCATGCCACCAAATGGGTGCATTAATTCATTTGTTTTGTTTTACTTTCAATTTTAAAAATGAATTTTGTTTTATAGTGACATAAAATATTCACAAGATTCCAAAATCAAGTCTTCAAAGCAAGCTATCCTTAAAAGTCTAGCTTCTAGCCCTGCCACTCTACCCTATCTCATCCATCTCCCATCCATAATAATTTTCCATACTTTCTAGTTTTATTTTATAATTTATTCTGATGCATGTGTACCTTTATACATACATAAACATATGTAGGTGTAGCTCCCCTTTCCATACTTCCTAGTTTTATTTTATAATTTATTCTGATGCATGTGTACCTTTATACATACATAAACATATGTAGGTGTAGCTCCCCTTTCCATACTTCCTAGTTTTATTTTATAATTTATTCTGATGCATGTGTACCTTTATACATACATAAACATATGTAGGTGTAGCTCCCCTTTCCATACTTCCTAGTTTTATTTTATAATTTATTCTGATGCATGTGTATATTTATACATACATAAACATATGTAGGTGTAGCTCCCCTTTCCATACTTTCTAGTTTTATTGTATAATTTATTCTGATGCATGTGTACATTTATACATACATAAACATATGTAGGTGTAGCTCCCCTTTCCATACTTCCTAGTTTTATTGTATAATTTATTCTGATGCATGTGTACATTTATACATACATAAACATATGTAGGTGTAGCTCCCCTTTCCATACTTCCTAGTTTTATTGTATAATTTATTCTGATGCATGTGTACATTTATACATACATAAACATATGTAGGTGTAGCTCCCCTTTCCATACTTCCTAGTTTTATTTTATAATTTATTCTGATGCATGTGTACATTTATACATACATAAACATATGCTCACTGTAGCTCCCCTTTCCTAGACAAAGGGAGCTTAGCGCGCACGCGTTTCAGGGATTTGTTTGTGGAGATCCCTCCTGGCAGCGGGTGGGGTTTCCTTCATGCCCCTAGCCCGCCCTGGGGTTCCCATAGCCGTGTGCCCGTCTCCCGGCGATGGACACTGGGAAATGTTAGGGTTTGCAGCTCCTATAGCGCTGGAGTGACTGCCTCTGTGCCTGGTCCTTTCCTGGTTTCCGGAGCTGAGTGCTGTTCTTCGGAGTGGAGTTGAGCTCCTGCCACCTCAGTGGCTTAGAGGCACCTGCGCGGTGCTGGGTGCTGGGACATGTGGAAACTTGAAGATCTGGAGTGGGAGGTGGGGGGCCAGGCCCCAGATCCTTGCTCTTGGGGAGGGTCTGTCCTGCTGTGTCCTAGCCCTGCCCTGACATTTTCCCTTCTCCAGATCCGGGGCCACCATGTGGCCCAGCTGGACCCCCTGGGCATTCTGGATGCAGACCTGGACTCCTTTGTACCCTCAGACCTAATCACAAGCATCGATAAATTGGGTGAGAGTTGGTACCCTTCTCTGTTGCCCTGGTGATGCCAGAGCCAGCTGCTGCCTGTGCGCAGTGAGGGGCCTGGGACCACAGCGGGCTCTGCGGCCCTGCAAGCAGCCCAGGAAGCTTCTCTGACCCTGGCCCCTCTGCCGCACAGTGTCCCTCCGAGGGCGGCTCCCTGTGCTCCCTCAGGGCCCTCCGTGCTCGGCAAATGTGAGAGACTTTGCCGGGCTCACTCCCGTGGCAGCAACTGGACTCTGACCCTCTCCCTGCTCCCTGCAGCTGTTCCCTGAGCTTAGCGGGACCTGGAGGGAGGGATACTGCTGGGCCCCACCGGAGTGACCCCTCTTCCCTCTCTGCCTCCTGGGCTCTGCTCAGCCTTCTATGACCTGCGGGAGGCTGACCTGGACAAGGAGTTCCAGTTGCCCATGACCACCTTCATCGGAGGCTCCGAGCACACCCTCTCCCTGCGGGAGATCATTCAGCGCCTGGAGGTGAGCACGGGCAGGTGTGGGGGGAACACCCGGTGCAGCTCTCAAGCCTGCCAGGGGCGGGAGGTGCTGCCTTTTCTGTTCCAGATGCCCGGGCATCTGTCCCTCTTCCTGGCTGTCCCCCCAGAGCACCTACTGCCAGCACATCGGCCTGGAGTTCATGTTCATCAACGACGTGGAGCAGTGCCAGTGGATCCGGCAGAAGTTCGAGACCCCAGGCGTGATGCAGTTCTCCAGCGAGGAGAAGCGGCGGCTGCTGGCCCGGCTGGTGCGCTCCATGAGGTCAGGCGCTCAGGCACCAGGGGCTCCCACATCAGGGTCTCACCAGGGTCCCAGGAGGTCAGCGCAGCGAGTGGCTGGAGGGGCTTGCCCCAGGGCTGTTCGGCTTGCCCAGGCCTGACAGCACCCAGGAGGATGCCTGGCAAGGGGAAGGCAGGACCTTGGGCCTCGCTCCTCCCTGGAGAGAGGCCCTGAGGAGGAGCATTGGCCGGTGCTCAGGCGGAGCTGGCAGGGCCCGGGATAGGGCTCCAGGAGGCACGCCGAGTGCGCACAGGTGGCAGGAAGTGGCGTGGGGATGTTTGGGCAGGAGATGCCCTGTGTGGCGTGCGTAGAGCAGGGCCTCCCTGCCGGGCACCCCCTGGCTCTGCTGCGGACTTCTCTGAGGCTGGGTGTGCCCGGCGAGGGGAGCAGCTCCCCAGCCACTGGCACACCACGGCGCCCTGAGCAGTGCATGGGGCTGGAGTGTGAGCGGAGCCGGGAGGCGGTCTGGGAGTGGTGAGCGGGCGTGTGCGGCGCAGGTGTGCCAGGAGGGCAGCGGCCGGGAGCAGTTGGGCTGGAGGAGGGGAGGTGGTAGCTGGGAGCAGGAGGGTGAGGCAGAGGCTTCTGGTGAAGCTGGGAGGACGCTCGCCTCCCTCAGCCTGTGCTCTGGCGGCGGCTGCTGTGGCCGGTCCCAGACCGTGTGGAAGGAGGCGATCCTGCGTTTCCCTCTGTTCTGGGTGCCCTGCTCTGAGCCGCCAGGGGTGGCCCACGAGCCTCGGCCTCTCCATTCCTTCCCTCCTCTCTCCACGCAGGTTCGAAGACTTCCTGGCCCGGAAGTGGTCCTCGGAGAAGCGGTTTGGCCTGGAGGGCTGTGAGGTCATGATCCCTGCCCTCAAGACCATCATTGACAAGTCCAGTGAGATGGGGATTGAGAACGTCATCCTGGGCATGCCGCACAGGTGGGCCTCCGTCCCTCCCCCATTCGTTCTGGGCCAGGCACCGAGGGGAGGGCGGGATGGGAAGCAGCAGGGCCATTAGCGGGACAGGAGGGTGGGACAGAGTGGCCTGGGAAGTCCGGAGTCCCTGCTCGCAGACAGCCAAGCACACGGTCACAGCCGCAGGGAGCCAGGCCTGGCGGGCTCCCAGGAGAGTCAGGGTTCCGGGAAGGGGTCATGTTGTTCTTGAGGTTCCTGTGGACCAGGAGCCAAGCAGGGGCCAGTCCTAGGGAAGTGTGGGCGGGCCTGGGCCGGGGTCCTGGTTGGATCTGGACGTCTCTTCCGGCTGCAAGCTGCCAGCCCGTTTCCCTGAGGCCTTGATGCAGATGGGAGACTGGCGTGGCAGTCGGGTAGTCACTGTGAGCTGGAGCCTGTGGTCTGACAGGAATACAGCCCGGACATAGGAAGGGGTCAGGGTTCATGCCGAATGGGCTGTGAGGGGACGAGCTGAACAGTCGGGGGCAGAGCCCCGCGTTTCCTTGACCACTTCCAGCTGCTCTCGGTTGGGCCAGGCCGGGCTGTGCCAGCAGGTGGGGGGTTCAGCTCCCGATGAGTGTGGAGGGCCCTCTGGTGGGCTGGCTGCCAGGAGCCGGGAGCCTGCCCGCCCCAGGCTTCGTGCTCTGAGGCCTGGACATGCCCAGTGTCCGGCCAGAGGGCCAGGCAGAGCTTCCCTGTAGTCTGGGTGGCTGGTCCTGTGGAAGGGGAGGGCACTGGGTGGTCAGGTCAGGAGGTGGTGCTGACAGGCTCTGGCCTGCGGAGGCTCTGGGAGCTGAGGCTGTTCCAGCTCAGGCTCCATCTTTGCTGAGGGGTCTTTGAGGCTGCAGGGCTTTGCCATGGCCCCGTGGCTTCCAGACCCACAGCACAGGAGAGAGGCCCACCTGGTCGGGCCGCCCTGCCTCAGGCACATGGGGCTGGAGGTTGGATGGGGCGTGTGTGTGTCGGGCTGGCATTTGCTGATGAGCTTTGGGGGCGAGTGGTACCCCATTGGCTGGTGCCCACCCCTGAATAAATTGCCTTTGATGGGGGCCAGGCTGGACTGGGGAACCCCTGGTCCCTCACTGTTCTCCTGACCCCCACCCCTCAGACCCCCCTCAGCTCCTCTGGACAGGTCCTCTGGTCACTCCTGGTCTTGGGTCCCTCCGGTTCTTTCTCTGTCCTCTCCAACATGCTGCTGGGCTAGGGTGGGGGATAGTGTGAGCCACTGTGATGTGTCAGCAGATTGGGACCAAGGTACTGAGTTGGGCTCAACTTTTGGGTGGGGAGGTGAGCATTGCATGAGGCTGGTGACTCCCTGCTCAAAGAGGGCCTCCTGAATCGGAGATGTATAGGGGTGTCTGGAGGGAGGGGGGACTGGCTGGCCAGGATCACTCACATGCCTGTAGACTGAGACGGGAGGAGAGGGCTGGGCCTCTTTGGGCTCCCTGGAGAGGGGGTTTCCCCAGACTCCATGCGGATTCTGGTAGGACCCGGTGGGCAGGGAGCTGGGCTCCGCCAGGGCAGGCGGCCTCTGAGCCAGGTGCGAGCCCAGCCCCTCTGGCTCCAGGGGCAGGCTGAACGTGCTGGCCAACGTCATCCGCAAGGACCTGGAGCAGATCTTCTGCCAATTCGATCCCAAGCTGGAGGCAGCGGATGAGGTGGGTACTGCGCCCAGGCTCAGGGCCCCTGGAGAGCTGGTGTTTGGGAGAGGGGCTGGGGGAGGAACCGGGCCAGGAGCTTCCAGGCTTGGACAGACCCTGAAGTGGACAGACACAGGGCTGGGAGAGAGGCGGGCATTGCAGGAGGCCCTGGTGGTGAAAGAGCCTGGACATGCGGCCAGGCCCCTGTTCGCAGCGGGACATGGGCGTCAGAGATGCTGTGGTGGAGCTCCGAGGGTTGCAGACATTGGGGAGCCCACCCCGGTGTGTGGGAGGACCCCGTGCACCCTCACTCTATTGACCTCCATCTTGGACAATAGGTTGGTGTAAAATGATTGCATTCTAACATATTTATTTGTTACAAATTTGAGTATCTTTTCGTGTTTTAAGCCACATGTGGTGGCTTTTCCCTGTGAGTTTCTCTTCCTGGCTTGTGCACACTTTCCTGTGGGTCTTTGGGCTGCATGTCCCTGATTTGTAAAAGTGCTTTACCTGTGGACGCACTTGGTCCTTTGCCTGCGTTTGTCTCATGAATATTTTTTTCAACCTGATTTTCCCCTAATGTTATGCAGGATTTGCTGTCCCCTGCAAATGTGTTAGGTTTTAGCTGCCTCATCTTTTGTAGCTTCCGAGGGTTGTTGATTGTGTAGAAAGACGTTCCCTGCTCCAGGATCATCAAATATGTCACACTTTCCCCTGATACCGTGGCTCTGTCACATGGTGGAGGAGTTAGTGGGCCCAGCCCTGGTGTTTGCCCAGCGGTCTCCTCTCCGTGAGTGAGCCATCCTGCATGTCTCTGCTGTCACTGCCGCTGGCCCGTCCACCCAGATGACGGTGGTTGAAATTTAGGGGCCACCCTCAGGGCACGGAGGGGCAGGGTGCAGGGCAGGGAGGCGGCTGGAAGAGGGTGTAGGTCAGGCCCAGCACAAGCCTTTCCAGAGAGCAGAATCCAGGGACTGTTTCAACCACACTGGCCTTGCAGCTGTCTGTCTGTCCATCTGTCTCCCTGTCTGAGGTGGGGGGGCCGGGTGCCTCACGGTCCGCCTCAACCCCAGGGCTCTGGAGATGTAAAATATCACCTGGGCATGTACCACGAGAGGATCAACCGGGTCACGAACAGAAACATCACCCTGTCCCTGGTGGCCAACCCGTCCCACCTGGAGGCCGTGGACCCCGTGGTGCAGGGCAAGACCAAGGCCGAGCAGTTCTACCGCGGGGACGCCCAGGGCAAGAAGGTGAGCTCAGCGGGGTCCTGGGGTGAGCTCTGGGGCTGGGCTGAGGCTGCGGTGCAGGGGGGCTAGGTCCGCAGGCTGGGGCTGGGGCTCCTCCCAGCTCACCCTCCACTCTGCAGGTCATGTCCATCCTGGTGCACGGGGACGCCGCCTTCGCCGGCCAGGGCGTGGTCTACGAGACCTTCCACCTGAGCGACCTGCCCTCGTACACCACCAACGGCACCGTGCACGTGGTTGTCAACAACCAGGTGAGGCCTGGCTGCGTGCCCGGCTCGTCAGCAGTGCCCATCCCTGCACCAGGCAGCACTCTGAGGGGAAGAGTGAGGCCATCCTGGTTCTGATCCCACTGCCGTGTGCCCCAATGTGTGACCTCAGGCAGGCTCCGGCTCTCCCCAGCCTCGGGTGTCTGGTCTGTGAAATCGGGAGATCCATCCGTCTATCTGCTGTGTCTGTCTGTCTGTCTGTCTGTGTCATCCTGGAGAAAGTTGTTAGGACAAAGGAGCACAGGGGTAAGAGCACACAGTGGTGAGATGCTGCTTTAGCTCCTCGTGAGTCAGTCAGCCTTAGCGCAGCTCTCACAGCCTTTGCTTCAGCAGCTGCGTTTAGAGCAGCTCTTCCCTGAGCCCGGGCAGCCCTGGTTAACAGCAGGGTTTGCACGAAGTCACCCAAGCTTCATAGACTAACCCTGTGCCGCAGGGACTGAGGAGACCTTTACACAGATGGGGACACAGCCTTTGGAGTCTAAGTGCCTTGCCCGTGGTTGTACTTAGTAACTGGTGGGACGGGCTGACCCAGGCCTGTGCTCCTCGCTGCCTCTGAATGAAATGATGGCAAAGAAGAGAGCGGGCACCCCCATGGCCCCCGCTGCTGTGTTTGATCTTGGGCTGCTCAGAAGTGACCCTCCTGCCCCTCATGCCTCCTGGGCACACGGGATGGCCCTCGAGGCAGAGACCTCCGGCCTCCAGGACCACGGGTCTGGCTCCGGGTAAGCGGGCCCTGCCGCTTCCTCCTGCTTCTGCAGATCGGCTTCACCACTGACCCTCGGATGGCCCGCTCCTCACCGTACCCCACCGATGTGGCCCGTGTGGTCAACGCGCCCATCTTCCACGTGAACGCAGACGACCCAGAGGCCGTGATATACGTGTGCAGCGTGGCGGCCGAGTGGAGGAACACCTTCAACAAAGACGTGGTTGTGGACCTGGTGCGTCTGGGGCTGAGGCCGGGCCGTGGTGTGCAGCCTGTCCTGGCGGTGCCAAGTGTGCCAGTCTGCAGCACCGCAGCAGTGGGGGCTGGGGGTCCTGGGAGGCAGAGATCTAGTGCTACCAAGAGCACACGTGGCACAGGGAGGGGGCGGGGCATTCAGGGCCTGGAGGGTAAGCCCCGCAGACGTGCCCCAGCTGTGCGGTGACTAAGCCTGCGCTGCCCCGGCACAGGGACGGAGCCCCCTCCCTCGCTGTCCCTGCAGGTCTGTTACCGCCGGCGCGGCCACAATGAGATGGACGAGCCCATGTTCACGCAGCCGCTCATGTACAAGCAGATCCAGAAGCAGGTGCCCGTGCTGAAGAGGTACGCAGACAAGCTCATCGCCGAGGACACGGTCACGCTGCAGGAGTTCGAGGTGCGTGGTGGCGGGCCTCGTGAGCACCTGGGATCCGCCTCCTCACAGCGGGACCCTGGGAAGTCGCTGATGTTGCTGGCCCAGAGCTGGGACCTGGTGGTATACAGAAGTAGACAATATGGCTCTTGTCCCCAACAGCCTCCATTATCAAGGGGGACAGAGGACCAAAGACAGACACAGCAACCCCCTGAGACGGGCTTGTCCCCTCAGTTATCTGTGGATATGTTGGTCCCCCCGCCTCGATGGGGCTCTGAGAGCAAGCTTCTCGAATTTACCCCAAGCTTCTTGCTGAATGGAATCCCCCTGAACTCTGAAGCTTTGGTCTCTGGCCACAAGGTCCCTGCAGGCCAGCAGAGAGAGTTCTAGAACATGGTAAGGGAGTCCAGTTTGACCCGGGATCTGGCTGCTCACAGCGTCCCTGCCTTCGCTTTGATTCCAGGAAGAAATCGCCAAATACGACCGGATCTGTGAGGAGGCGTACGGCAGGTCTAAAGATAAAAAGATCCTGCACATAAAGCACTGGCTGGACTCGCCCTGGCCCGGTGAGCAGCAGCAAGGGCTGAAGTGATGCTCCTGGCACTGGGCCCAGGCCCAGAGCGGCTGCCCGAGGCTGCGCCCTGAGGCCCTGAGGCCCCGGAGGCTGTGGACTGACTCCTGAAGGCTGGGCAGGCACCGCCCCGCCCTCCAGTACTTGTGACCAGCAACGTCTGGGGAGAGAGGGCTGAGGCAGGGCCAGTGGACACCGAAGTGGAGAGGGCTGGGCACAGGGAGGGTTCAGCGGGCTCCCTGGGTAGAGCTAGATGCCCTGGGCTCAGGGCCTGGCTCTTGCAAGGGCCTACGGAGGGCTGGTAGATGAGGAGCTGGAGCTGGAGCTGGGACGTCAGCGGCCGCAGTCCTGAGGGTGGGCTCGGTCTTCAGGTGGCAGGAGGGCCCAGAAAGACGGGGCTAGGGGCCCACCGCCCCCTGGTACACGGAGTCTCTGCGTTCGCAGGCTTCTTCACTGTGGACGGGGAGCCCAAGAGCATGACGTGTCCAACCACCGGCATCCCCGAGGACGTGCTGACCCACATCGGCAACGTGGCGAGCTCTGTGCCGCTGGAGGACTTCAAAATCCACACGGGTGAGGTCGCTGTGGGGCTGCGGAGTGGGCCGCGGTCCCCGCTGACTTGCCCCAAGAACGATGGCATCGGGGTCAGGGAGGTCGGGCCTGCATCTCCACTGTCCTGGGTCGGCCGGGCTCTTGGAGTCTTGTCTGCACCCCAGGAGGTGCCTTGATACTAGCTCCTGTCCAAGGGGGAGGGGAGGCAGGGGGGAGGGGGGGCTGAGGTGGTGCGTAGAGACCAGACTGATGTGGATCCCTGGCTCAGGGGGGCAGGGTTTTCTGTGGAAGGAGCGCTGGGCCTGGCACACCGGGCAGGGACGCCGGGCTTGCCAGTAGCCTGCATGGATGACAGAGTGACCCTGCTGCTCCTGGATGAGCCTGGGCTAGTGGGTGGTCCCTGGCTGCACATCCTGGCTATGGCCTCTACTTGGGCCCCTGGAGCGCCCCCTGGAGGGGGTGGGCACCTGCGTCCCTTGGGACCAGCTTGGGTGCTCCGAGGTTTCTTGTGCAGTGTGCTGAGGCCCAGGGGCCTGGGCACCCGCTCTGTGTGCATGTCCCGGGGTCTGTGCAGGAGTAGGTCCCCCAGGAGCCCAGCATGGCCTGGGCGCTGGGGCTCAAATTCGAGCATCTTCTAGCTGTGATTGTGAGTAAACGGCTTCCCTCTCCACTCCTGTCTCCCTCTGGAAAGGTGGGACAGTCACTGTGGGCGGTGCAGGCTGCACCCCCTCCAGGCGTGCACAGTGCCGGCGCTCCCCGGCGAGGCCCGCTCCTTCCAAGGGAGGGAGGCTCGCCCCGCGGACTGGCTGGAGGGCTGTGCTGGAGGAGGTCCTGCCAGGCCGGCCCAGAGGAGACGTGTGCATGAGCACACACACCTGCCCTGGGCCTGGGCTCTGGCTGTTTGGGCAGGGTGACCCCGGCCTGGGTACTCAGGCTGGCCCTCCCCTCCCGCAGGCCTCTCTCGAATCTTGTGGGGCCGCGCGGACATGACCAAGAAGCGGGAGGTGGACTGGGCGCTGGCGGAGTACATGGCCTTCGGCTCCCTGCTCAAGGAGGGCATCCACGTGCGACTCAGCGGGCAGGATGTGGAGAGGGGCACGTTCAGGTGAGGGCAGGGGCTCCTTGTGCACATGAGTTATCAGCACAAGCCTGTGAGGCTGCTGAGGGGCAGCTGTGCTTGGGGACCCCAGCGTCATCGTGGGCACTTCCTCCTCCTCCTCCTGGGCCTTTTCTGAGGAGCCCAGGAGGGCCTTGTCTGGTGGGGAGATCACTGGTAACCCCATCAGCACCCCAGCCCCTTCCCTTGGCCAGGTCACCGGGGGGACGCCGGGCCACCTCTCTGACCCCAGGGCATAAGCACGCAGAGCAGACCGCACAGCCTGGCTGGGCTGTCTAGCCTCATGGTGTGCATGTGAGCTTCCAGTAAGCCAGCCTCCCGTTTGCTTGTTTTCCTTGAGTTTTCGAGTCCAGGGACAGGACTGCACTGTCAGTGTCCCCCCTCATTCCCTCTTTGGGCCCAGAGGTTCTGCACCCGATGTGGTCACTGTGCTGGTGAGCTACGGGACCGTGGCGCCGGGATGCGCTGCACGGTTTTCCTGGGCCCCGGTGCCCGTCACTGCCAGCCCGTTCCCGCCCTGCTGGCCCCCGAGCTGCGTGTCAGTCCTCACTGCGTGTGGGGGTCAGCCAGGCGGTCCCCTCATTGTGTAGGTGGTACCTCCTGTGGACCTGGGCAGGGAGACAGTGCCCGGGGGTGTGGCCCTGTCTTGGGGTCTCTGGGTCTCAGGCTCCACCCAGCACGTGGTTTGTGAGGTCATCAGGCCGGTCTCGGGGACCTTTCTGAGGTGGAAGCTGAGACTCAGGCCTGTGTGGTGTGGGGGTGCTGCTGGGAGGCTGCCTGATGGAGGGGACAGGTCGCCCTGGCTCTCCAGGGCCTTGGCGTCACTGCCCGTGGGGCGCACAGGTTTTCTGGCGCCTCCTGCTCCCCATCCTTCCTGCTCTGTTTCTCTCTAGTCACCGGCACCACGTTCTCCACGACCAGGAAGTTGACCGGCGGACGTGTGTCCCCATGAACCACCTTTGGCCTGACCAGGCCCCGTACACCGTGTGCAACAGCTCCCTCTCGGAGTACGGCGTCCTGGGTGGGTCAGACTCTGCAGGCAGGCCAGGCGGGCCTGGGTGCCTGGAGACCAAGGAGGGGCGTGCATCCTGCGGTTCCCTGTCGCTGGGACCATGGACGGGCCAGTGGCTGAAAGGGCAGGGCAGGGTCTGGGCCCAGGAGCGACTGGGAGGCTCAGAGGCCCCTGGGGTGGACCTGGGCGCTGGCACAGGACGCTGAGGCCACGTGGGACTTAAAGTCCAGCTGGGGGCTCCTGCTTGCCTAGGATGGGGCGGGGGAGGGCGCTTTTTGGACACCAGAGTCCTGCTCCTGGGCCCCAGCCCCAGTGGGACCAGAAAACCCAATAGAGTCCACTGTGGGATAGCCACCAACTGGCCCAGAGCCTGGCCTGACCCGCCCCCCTCCCCCACTTTCCTGATCGTCATCTCCCCTCCACACTGCACCCCACCTTGGACTCGGGGCTCCCCAGTGACCAGCTCCTCACTAGACCCTGCATTCTCTCCCTGGGCTTTATCCTGAGCTGGCCACCTCCATCCTCCTCCTCCTAGAGGCGGGACCCCCAGGGACCAGCTCCTGCCCTCCCCCTCAGCAGCCCTGCACCTGTTCGGGGGCTCCTCTTGGTAAACGGCCCCTCTGCCTCCCCAGGGGGTCTTGTGGACGTGGCTCCATGAGGCTGATGCTAGCCACGTGCAGCCTCACTGAGGGCGCCTCTCGTGTGTCCTCAGTTCCCAGGACGCAGGATCCATGGCCCCCGGGAGTCCCGCTCCCCGGCCTGGCGGGAGGGGGAGGGAAGGGTGTGTAGAAAGGGCTGGGCTTGGCGGGAGCCACGGCCCTGGGCACAGTGTGCGGCAGGCTGTCTTGGCTTCTTCCGTTCAGGCTTCGAGCTGGGCTACGCCATGGCCAGCCCCAACGCGCTGGTCCTCTGGGAGGCTCAGTTTGGCGACTTCCACAACACGGCCCAGTGCATCATCGACCAGTTCATCAGCACCGGCCAGGCCAAGTGGGTGCGGCACAACGGCATCGTGCTGCTGCTGCCCCACGGCATGGAGGGCATGGTGAGCGCTGCGGGCCGGAGGGCACGGAGGGCACGGAGGGCACGGAGGGCACGGAGGGCACGGAGGGCACGGAGGGCACGGAGGGCATGGAGGGCATGGAGGGCATGGTGAGCGCTGCGGGCCGGAGGGCACGGAGGGCACGGAGGGCACGGAGGGCATGGAGGGCATGGAGGGCATGGAGGGCATGGTGAGCGCTGCGGGCCGGAGGGCACGGAGGGCACGGAGGGCATGGAGGGCATGGAGGGCATGGTGAGCGCTGCGGGCCGGAGGGCACGGAGGGCACGGAGGGCACGGAGGGCACGGAGGGCATGGTGAGCGCTGCGGGCCGGAGGGCACGGAGGGCACGGAGGGCACGGAGGGCATGGAGGGCACGGAGGGCACGGAGGGCATGGAGGGCATGGAGGGCATGGAGGGCATGGTGAGCGCTGCAGGCCGGAGGGCACGGAGGGCACGGAGGGCACGGAGGGCACGGAGGGCACGGAGGGCATGGAGGGCACGGAGGGCACGGAGGGCATGGAGGGCACGGAGGGCACGGAGGGCATGGTGAGCGCTGCGGGCCGGAGGGCGTGGAGGGCACGGAGGGCACGGAGGGCATGGTGAGCGCTGCGGGCCGGAGGGCGTGGAGGGCACGGAGGGCACGGAGGGCATGGTGAGCGCTGCGGGCCGGAGGGCATGGAGGGCATGGAGGGCATGGAGGGCACGGAGGGCACGGAGGGCACGGAGGGCATGGAGGGCATGGAGGGCATGGAGGGCATAGAGGGCATGGAGGGCACGGAGGGCATGGTGAGCGCTGCGGGCCGGAGGGCGTGGAGGGCACGGAGGGCACGGAGGGCATGGTGAGCGCTGCGGGCCGGAGGGCATGGAGGGCATGGAGGGCATGGAGGGCATAGAGGGCATGGAGGGCACGGAGGGCATGGAGGGCATGGTGAGCGCTGCGGGCACGGAGGGCACAGAGGGCACGGAGGGCATGGAGGGCATGGAGGGCATGGAGGGCATGGAGGGCATGGAGGGCACGGAGGGCACGGAGGGCACGGAGGGCACGGAGGGCACGGAGGGCATGGAGGGCATGGAGGGCATGGAGGGCACGGAGGGCACGGAGGGCATGGAGGGCATGGAGGGCATGGAGGGCATGGTGAGTGCTGCGGGCACGGAGGGCGTGGAGGGCATGGAGGGCATGGAGGGCACGGAGGGCATGGAGGGCATGGTGAGCGCTGCGGGCCGGAGGGCACGGAGGGCTCGGAGGGCATGGAGGGCATGGAGGGCACGGAGGGCATGGAGGGCATGGAGGGCATGGAGGGCATGGAGGGCATAGAGGGCATGGAGGGCACGGAGGGCATGGAGGGCATGGTGAGCGCTGCGGGCACGGAGGGCACAGAGGGCACGGAGGGCATGGAGGGCATGGAGGGCATGGAGGGCATGGAGGGCATGGAGGGCACGGAGGGCACGGAGGGCACGGAGGGCACGGAGGGCACGGAGGGCATGGAGGGCATGGAGGGCATGGAGGGCACGGAGGGCACGGAGGGCATGGAGGGCATGGAGGGCATGGAGGGCATGGTGAGTGCTGCGGGCACGGAGGGCGTGGAGGGCATGGAGGGCATGGAGGGCACGGAGGGCATGGAGGGCATGGTGAGCGCTGCGGGCCGGAGGGCACGGAGGGCTCGGAGGGCATGGAGGGCATGGAGGGCACGGAGGGCATGGAGGGCATGGAGGGCATGGAGGGCATGGTGAGTGCTGCGGGCCGGGCCCCGGCGGGCCGGGGTGGGAACCTGCGCCACATGCGGGGCTGGAGCGTAGGCACTCTGGGCCCATGGAACACGGGGGCTGCTTAGGGGCTGCATCAGGCTGTGGCAGAAATGGCGATGGCACTTTCACTGGCGGTGGAGGCAGCTGACACGCCTGAGCCCGCTATGTGCTCTGTTCAAACCCGCTCTGTGTGTGAGCTCTTCCAGCCTCACAGCTCTCCGTTCCAACAGTGAAACAAAGTGAGTCCTATCCCCGTTTTCAGATAAACTGAGGCACAAAGATGCGGACTAGCTTGTCCAAGGTCACTCAGCCAGTAGCTTGGACTTGAACCGGATCTGTGCAGCGTTGCCTGTCTTCCGGTCCTCTCCCGGGCAGGAGGGCAGATGTGCAGGCAGCGCTGGGGAGTGCTGAGCAGAGCGGGCTGGGCTGTGTGATTCTGGCTGAGCTGCAGGGGATGTCCCTGAGGGCCCACTCGGCTCAGACCCAGTAAGGGTCATCATCGTAGCGTGGCTGTTTAGCGCCAGGACTCACTGTGCTGAGCACTCCGCATGGCCTGTGAACCCCAGAGTCCTCACTCAGCACTGCCTCAGTCCTGCTTCCATCGCACGCCTGAGGGAGAAGGGGCGTGGCTGCCCGGGGCCTCCAGCTGCAAAGGCTTCTTCCTGCGGAGCTTGAGCCAGGCTGGGTGGGGAGAGGTGGGGTGGCCTGGCTGGTGCCGGTGGCACTGGGTCCTTGGTGAGTCCACACTAAGGAAGGAGTGGGTGGTGGCCCTGCTGCACAGGGAGCGAGTTCGGAGGTCACCGAGCTGTCAGCAGCCCCTGGGCACGGGTGGGAGGGGGAGTCTGCTCTGGTCACGTCTGCCCTTCTGGCTGACGGGTCTTGGGTTGTTTCTTAATCTCTCTGCCCCGCGCCGTCTTCACCTGTAAAGTGAGGGAGCAGTGTCTGCATCAGGGGCTCCTTGCAGGGCCAGGGACGAACGTGCGGGCCGCGGGCCTGTGCCTGGGTCGAGCGGCAGCCACTGGGTCGGACGTGCTGGAGGCAGGCCTCTGCCTGGCCTTCACTCCCACCCCACGTGCTTGCTCCCCGGACCCCCTGAGGGTGCCTTCCCGGCGCCGCTCCCACATTCCTGGGTCTCTCCCGTGGTCTGGGCCCAGAGTGAGGGCACCTTCTCCCAGAGCCTTTCATTCCCTTTCCCGAGTCCCTGCACGGCCAGGCTTCTGTCCTGAGTGACGACCCACCTGGACCGTCTGGCCTTCGCTTCCAGGGGCCGGAGCACTCCTCGGCGAGGCCCGAGCGGTTCCTGCAGATGAGCAACGATGACTCGGATGCCTACCCCGTGAGTGCACCTGCCTTCCCCTGGGACAGGGCGGGGCGCCCGGGGCCGCCTCCCAGCCACCCTGTCCTCCCAGGCCTTCTCTGAGGACTTCGAGGTGCGGCAGCTCTACGACTGCAACTGGATCGTGGTCAACTGCTCCACGCCGGCCAACTACTTCCACGTGCTGCGCCGGCAGACCCTGCTGCCCTTCCGCAAGCCGGTGAGCCGCCTGCCCGGGCCGGCGCTGCAGCCCCGGGCAGCCCCGGAACCTGGCCCGGGGGCAGCTGGCAGCTCGGCACGTGTTTCCCTTCCAGCTGATCGTCTTCACTCCCAAATCGCTGCTGAGGCACCCGAAGGCCAAGTCCAGCTTTGACCAAATGGTATCCGGTATGTGCCTGGGCAGGCGGGGCGGCGAGGGGAGGCCCGGGGCCCGGGTGAGGCCTCTGCTCTCGGACTGAGCTCACTCATTCTGTGGCTCTGAAGCAACTCCTGCGTGGTCCCCACCCGCGGCTGGGTGGGGAGGTTGGCGGACGGCCAGCTGCACTGGGCTAGCCTGGGCCGCTTGGGCTCAGCGCCAGGGACAGAGGGGTGCACTGGGCCCAGCAGGGCTGGCCTGGCTGCTGGGGCAGCTTAGAGGCAGGAGGCGGGGTGAAGTCTACCGGAGGGTAAATGTCACTGATCCATTAATACTTTCCCCCACTCATGAGCCAAACAGACATGACTGTCCCTGGGACGCGGTGTCCCCTCCAGAGCTCGCAGCCTCACTTACCTGGGGTCGGGTCAGTCTAATGAAGCGCCTGGAGGACCGAGTGTAGGAATTGAGGTGGAGGCCAGTGGAGGTCAGGGAGTGCAGCTGGGGCCCTGAGGCGTGGAGAGGAGAGCTGTCCTAGGAAGTGGTCTGGCCAGGAAGGGTCTCAGCGTGGGTGTGGGTGTCCCTGAGGGGTGGGAGGTCTGAGGCGGCAGTTCCAAGCTCTGGCCTTGGACTGGGCCACCTGGGCTGGACGCCCGGTGCTGGCTCTTCTCTGGCAGCCTGTTCCCTCTCTGGTCGCTGTGCTCCCTGGGATGCAAGGACACGGCCACTTTCCCAGAGATCTTTGCAGTGCGCTTGGCCTGCTTCTGGACACATGACATGAGCTCAGGAAGGAAAGACGGACAGCACGTAGGACTTGGGGGCGTGGTTGCGGGGCTGAGGGAGGAAGGGGTGTGTAGTGGTCTCTGGAGACAGTGCTCACCCTTAAGCTAGGTGATGCACACAGCGATGGCGGGACTGGCTGGGAGCAGCTCTGCTTCAGGTAACGAGCTCATGAGAGAGGCAAGTCATTACCCTCATTTCCCCGCCAGGGGCTCTTCCCCTTGGGCCCCACTTCCCCCTCAACGGTGATGCTCCCAGCCTCTGCCCTTGGCTCCCATCTCCACTTCTTTCCCTATGACACTGGTCGGCAAACCACGGCTCGTAAGCCACATGCGGCTCTTTGGCCCCTTGAGTGTGGCTCTTCCACAAAATACCACGTGCAGTGTGATTGAAACTTCGTGGCCTATGCGCAGAAGTTGGTTTTCGGCCTGGGCGAGTCTATTTTGGAGAAGTGGTGTTAGAACACTCAAGGGGCCAAAGAGCCGCACGTGGCTCTCGAGCCGCGGTTTGCCAGCCACTGCACTATGACGTCTCAGGTTTCACTTATCTTCTCCATCGTTTGGTTCAAGAGGTACCCAGTGCAGCCGCAGAGCCTAACCTGGGCTGGCCTTGGCTAAGGGGAGCCTGCGGGTGCGGGGGCCACGGGCCTGTTCCCCTCTTGGAGCTGATGCCTCTTCCCTGTCCTCTCGGTCTCCAGGGACCAGCTTCCAGCGGGTCATTCCTGAGGATGGGGCCGCGGCTCAGACTCCTGAGCGGGTACGGCGGCTCATCTTCTGCACGGGCAAGGTGTACTACGACCTGGTGAAGGAGCGGAGCACCCAGTGCCTGGAGGACCAAGTGGCCATTACACGCCTGGAGCAGGTATGCCTGCTTGGAGTGATGGACAGGGTCAGCCAGCCAGCCCCCTGGGCCCGGGAGGGAGCTGTGTTGTCTCGTTTCCCCGGGCTATGCTGCCATGTCTTCCCGTCTGCCCCAGATCTCCCCGTTCCCCTTCGACCTGATCAAGAGAGAGGCAGAGAAGTACCCAGGCGCAGAGCTGGTCTGGTGCCAGGAGGAGCACAAGAACATGGGCTACTACGACTACATCAACCCACGCTTCATGACCATCCTGAACCGGACACGGCCCATCTGGTACGAGGCTGGGTGCAGGGCAGCCAGCCGCCTGTCCTCCACACTGCGGGCCCTGTGGGGCGGGGGCCTGAGAACCCGTCCTGGCTTTGCCTGGCCTGTTTGGTGTGTCACCCAGAACTGGCAACTGTCCTTCTCTGGCCACAATGGGAGCCATAGTACCTGCTGGCGCTGTGACCGCGGGGGACAGGTCAGCTTCCCCATCAGGGACCCCCATCAGTACCACCTCACGGAGCAAAACCTTCTGCAGCCAGAACTGACCCAGGGCCCCTCCCGCGCTCTCAGATCTCCCGCCTTTGGCCTTAGGAGAGTTACTTTGTCACATGGCACCTCGGGCTCCTCATCCCTATAGCAGGACGAGAAGAATCATATCCCACGCAGCCCTCCCCTCACTCTCTCTCCTCCCCTAGGTATGTTGGCCGTGACCCAGCAGCTGCACCGGCCACAGGAAACAGGAACGCTCACCTGGTGTCTCTGAAGAAGTTTCTGGATACTGCCTTCAATCTGAAGGCCTTTGAGGGCAAGACATTTTAGCGCTGGGCAGGGCCTGCCTGGTCTTCCCATGGGCTGGCTGGGGCTGGGGGAGGGTCTGTCAGGCCCCAGGATAAAACACACTCATGCTGTGGTCGAGGCCGGAGGGCAGGTCTTAGGCTTCTGTGTCCTCCGTGTTTATTTCAGAGTCTGTGAGGCCTGAGAAAGAGAGGAGGTGATCGGTGGGAGGCAGTCAGGAGCGTATCCCCGGCTGCCCTGGCCTTTCTGGAGGTTCTGTGTAGCTTTTCCCACCTTGGTCTGCAGACAGCCACCCCGGAGCCTGACCTTAGTCTCCTGCTTCCTGGTGGATCTGCCTGCCGCTCACCCTGTCCTTGTTCATCTGTAGATTCAAGGACTGCTATCTTTTGTGCGCTTAGAAGAAATAGATGTTTCAGGGTGACAACCAGGTGAAGCAGAACCAGCCCGGTGATTTATCTTGTGCTGTTTTATGGAGTGTGTCATGATGAGTGTGAGATACAGCCATGGCTCATGCGTACCAAACCAGAACACCGAACAACAGAAATAAAAGAATGCCTGAGAGAGATTGTCTGTTTTCATTTCCTGTTGTAAAATCGGGGGGAAAGTCACATGGTTTAGAGAGGGCATGAGATGAGAAGAGGAAAAACTAAACTTCAGAGGGTGAACTAGCCCTCCACTGAGCTTGTGGATCTGTCAGTATCTCCACCCTTCAGCCTTCTGTTGGTTTTGCTGGGGAGCAACGGCACGGGAGGGATGTTTTGTTTCTGCAAATCATTTATTCACCCATGCGCTCAGAGCGCCGCCTCGGTGCTGGATGCTGGGCCCGGGGTGAAGAGGCGCTTCTGCCGCTGACTCTTCCAGGTCAGGCGTCCAGCTGGGAGACGGGCAAACTGTTTACTCACTGAGGTACACGTTAGTGCAGAGGCTGTGGGGGCACAGGAGGAGGAGGTGTTTGAGGAAGAAGAGTTGCAGGGAATACAGGAGACACGAGCCTTCCACAGAGCAGACCCAGAAACACGCCACGGGGAGGTAACCTACAGGAAAAATCAGTCTGAAGTTGAGAACAGAGTGTTACCGTCCATTAGTCCCAAGCACAGCTTGCTGGAGCACATTTTGGATCATACTGCAGGAGTGTGTAAGTGACATGAAGTAAAAACAATGCCAGCTGCCTTTATAGTGTGCTCATTGTGTCCTGGGTCCTCTGCTGGGCATTTTGCAGATATCCTTTATAATAAAAGCCCAGTATGCTAACTGTCGAGTTGTCCAGTCATCTGTTCAACCAATCAAAGCATAATATACTAATGATATGCTAAGGCCGCTCAACCCCTCGCTATGACATGCACTGATCACTAGGGGGCAGGCGGTCAACCAGTTGCTATGACATACACTGACCACCAGGGGTAAGACATTCTGACCAGTAGGTTAGCTTGCTGCTGGGGTCTGGCTGATCGGGACTGAGCAAGATGGGCTGGACACTCCCTAGAGCCCTTTGCGATCCCCTGCTGCCAACCTCCTGCGTCCCGGTCATTCTGGTCATCCTGTTGTTCCAGTTGCTTGGCTTTTATATATATAGATTACTGACTATACTCCCTATGCTTTAAATTCCCATGACTATTATGTAACTACAATTTTACTTCTTAAATCCATTCACCTTTTCCACCCATCCTACCTACCCCACTCCCCAACACCCTCACTTGGCAAACTTCAAAATGTTCTCTGTATCTATGAGGTCTGTTTTGGTTCCACTTGTTTGTTTATTTTGTTTTAGAGTCCACATGTAAGTGAAGTCACATAGTATTTGTCTTTCTCTGACTGACTTATTTCACTTAGTGCAGTACCCTTTAGGTCCATATAGGTTGTTGTAGATGGCAATATTTCTTTTTTATGGCTGAATCATATTCCATTATATGTATGCACCACTTTTTTTTTATCCATTCAGCTACCGATGGACACTTAGGTTGCTTCCACATCTTGGCTATTGTAAATAATACTGCAATGAACATATGGTTGTATATGTCTTTTTGATTTAGTGCTTGGGTTTCTTTGAATAAATACCCAGAAGTGGATATACTGGGTCCTTTTTTGTCTATTGTTATATAGCCCATTTTGTCTGGCATAACTATTGTTACCCCAGTTTCCCCCCATTTTTATTTGCATGAAACATTTTTTCTGTCCCTTTTAGTCTGTGTGTCTTTCTATCTGAAGTGTGTCTCTTGGAGGCAGCATATGTCTGGGTCTTGTTTTCTTCTCCATTCAGCCACTCTATGTCCTTTGATTGGATCTTTTAATCCATTTACAGTTAAAGTAATTATTGATATGTGTGTAGTTATTGACATTTTTGTTATTAAGATTTTTATATTTTTTCTTCTTCTTAAGTCTTTTAAACATTTCTTATAACACTGGTTTGGTGGTAATAAACTCCTTCAGTTTTTTTTTTGTGTGGTTTTTTTTTGGTCTGGGATCTCCCTTATTTCTTGCAATATTAGTTTGCTACCTTATTTTGAGTAGAATGTTTTAGGGCTCTTGTTTTGCTCTTTCTCCCCCTTTTTTTTTCTCTTTTTCCACTTTGACAATCAGTTTTTCATTTTTATAGTTGTCTTTCACTAAGCCACATATACTCCTGTTTAGGACTAGGCATTGTGATGGAGTTTTACAGATCCTATTATTTGGTAATGCTAGAGAAATCCTCGGCTCAGACAAGAAGCCAGCAGGCAGCCTTGATTAATTTTCAGTTGTCTGCTTAGCCTTCCCTTGAGATGACTGTATCTTAGAGTGCTCCTCTTTTAAAGTTTTCTTCTGTCATGGTTACTTATTTGGAGCAAAGGGTTGTGCTGAAGTGGGAAGATTTCTTGAATGTTGTCTTAGAGTTCTTTGGTTTCGAACCACAGAAATGACCTCTGGAATTTGCACATGGGAGCCTGGGAGATGGTGCCCGAGGTGGAGGGAGGCTCATGAGTAGATCCAGGGATCGGGGCAGCAGGAACTAACGGGGAGCCTGCTTATACTGATCCGGGATCTAATTCTTAGACTTTGAATCATGTTCAGTCATTTTGTCAATATCTTCAAGAGTCAAATTTCATGACAGAATGTCTGATTGAAATTTCTTTTTTTTTAATTTCTTTATTGATTAAGGTATCACATATTTGTCCTCAACCTCTCATTCTAATCCTCCACTCCCCCACTCATGCCCCTATTGTCCTCGACCACATGCACATAAGTCCTTTAGTTGATCTCTCCCTTTTATCCCTACCCTCCCTTTGAGGTTCAACAGTCTGACCCATGGCTCCTTATCTCTGGATCTGTTCTTATTCATCAGACTATGTAGTTCACCATTTCCCCTAGATGAGTAAGATCATGTCCTACTGGAAATGTACTTATAAGAATAAAAAATGAGACAAGTAATAATTGTTATGCTGAAAGGCATGTGAATCAGTCTGTAGAGTTTCTTTCTGGGCCACCAGTTCTTTTGAAACCCAATGATTGACATTTCTTGGGCCATTCATATTTTTATTGGAATAATTTCATTGGTATCCTATCCAAGACTATTGAGATGAATGGAGAAAAAACCCCAAAATAAAATTGGGGTGTTGTTTTCAGAAAATGGGATTATGCATATTGGGCAGAAAAAACTATATATGCCTGTTTTACATGCTCTGTCACTAAGCAGATGTGAGAAAATACAACAATTTTATCATGTACTTATTATGCGTCAGTCCCTGCTCTTGGTCTCTCCCATCTAATAGCACCTCTAAATCCTTACCATGCCCCATGAAACATGTATTGCTTTCACGTATTGTTACTGATTAAGATGCTGAAGCTCAGAAAGGCTGAGCAACTTTTATAGGTCACAGAGATGGGATTCACGTCCAGTGGGTCGGTCCTCACCATGAGCACAGAGCCACACTGCCTCGGGACCCCCGTGCTTCTTTACCAGGTTGACTGAGCATTACTCGAGGCAGTACAGCGAGCCCGTGACACAGCGCCTGCCCTGGGATCGCTCAGTGTCTGACCAGGCTGGTCAGTGTGCATCCGACGGGCTCATTGGGTTTTCTCGTTATGTGGGGAGTGAGAGATGATGGGAACAATTTTTGCTTTGAACTCCCAAGGAGACTTTCACAGTGAGAGGGGATTCTCAACAATAGAAGCCAGAGTTGAACTGGGTTACAACTCGTCTGTCTCCTGAGCTGCTTGCCCCCTCCTTCCAGCTGATGTGAGGAAAGGCCCCGGAAACAGCTGCTGCTTATTGGGAGGATCAGAAAAGCCATCCTACCTAACAAAAGAATAATATGCAAATTAATCACCACCCAGCTACACTAACAAGCCACTCCCATCAGCCAATCAGAACGAGTATGTAAATAAACCCAATCAAGATGGCTATGGCCATAGAGAGCAGGAGGGAGGCTTGGGTTTCCCAGGCAACAGAACATCCTCCAGACCCAGGCTGCTCCTAGCCTTTAGGCCAGTAGGCCCTGCGTAGCAGGGGTCCCAGAACACCCCCTGGCCACTCGGAGTCTATGAGTGCAGGCACCAAGCAGCTGGGGGCGGTACTGGAACATTCCTCCCACCTGCAGCCACTTGAGAATGCTCCAGCACCAAGTGGCGGTTTGGGTCCATGCCCCCAGCCTGGGGACTCAGGCCAGCAGAAGCGTGCAGACCCACGCAGAGATCCCCTCCTGGCCCAGCCTGGGTTCAGCCACTGAGTCACACCAGCCAGGCAGATATGGAGGAATCTTAAATGTTATATATATATATATATATATATATATATATATATATATATATATATATATATAAATTATATATATATATATTTATATTTTTTATTTTTTATTTCTTTTTTCTTTTTTCTTTTTGATTGATGTTTTACAGAGAGGACGGGAAAGGGATAGAGAGCTAGAAACATCTATGAGAGAGAAACATCGATCAGCTGCCTTCTGCACAGTCCCCACTGGGTATGTGCCCCCCAACCAAGGAACATGGCCTTGACTGGAATCAAACCTGGGACCCTTGAGACTGCAGGCCAT